CCCCCCCCAGCCTGCAGATCAGCCGGGTGGGGGAGAAGGGGGCCACAGCCACCAGCACCCGGGGCAGGGAGCAGCCCTCACGTTCGGCCCCACTCCCTTCCGGCTGCTCTGGAAAGGGCTGGATGGCCCCAGCCAGGAAGAGGGATAATTACAACCTGTGGGGTGAGGGAAGGGGGAGATGTGGGGGGCCAGGATTGAGCATCTTGGGGAGCAGAATGGGGCCCTGCACCCCCACTCCCATGACTCCACTGCACATGGCTTTGGCAGGGAGCAGCCCTCACGTTCGGCCCCACTCCCTTCCGGCTGCTCTGGAAAGGGCTGGATGGCCCCAGCCAGGAAGAGGGATAATTACAACCTGTGGGGTGAGGGAAGGGGGAGATGTGGGGGGCCAGGATTGAGCATCTTGGGGAGCAGAATGGGGCCCTGCACCCCCACTCCCATGACTCCACTGCACATGGCTTTGCGCTAAATCCCAGCCTGGCTAATCCACCTGCCACTGCGAGCTCAGCCCCCCCGGACAAAAGACACAGACAAGTAGATTCAAATACTTCTATATATATGTTTATAATTAAAAACAAACAAACAAACAACAATGGAGTGTTTATTGCCCCAAACAGGTGAAGTGATAACACAGACCAAACAAACTCATCACACACAGCTGCACAGAAGGACCAGGGCTGGCTCAGGGCCCCAGTCCTCCTGGTGGGGACAGCTCGGGCCCCGAGCCCTCAGGGGGACAACCAGTGTCCCCTGCCCCGCACACAGGGACAGAGTCCTCACTCGAGCATCATTGCAAGGCTGGGGGCGCAATTAAAAAATGAACAAACAAAGAAAATGCAAGAGAGCAGGGGCAGGGGGCCTTGCACGAGGTATATGGAGGTGGGGGGGGCTGCAGCCAGCGCAGCCCCGGTGTGGCCCAAGCAAGGGGGACGTGGGCACAGAGCCATCCTCAGTGTGTCCCCAGCACTAGCAGCGCTGGCGCAGGGGCCAGGGAGGCGTCACAGGCAGCGGCAGCTTGTGCAGACCTGGGCAGAGGGCAAGGGGTGAATGTCGGGCTGTCCTCGTCGTCCCCTCCCCACCCCTTGTCCTCTCCCCGTGTCCCCTCACCAAAGGCGCGCAGCAGCTCGGCCTGCACGGCCCAGGTGACCTCCCTGGCCAGGCACAGGGCGGCCAGTGCCACGAAGGCCACGTTGTAGAGGAAGACGAGGTAGAAGTTGCCCAGCCAGTTGAAGCGGCCAAAGTGGCCCAGGAGGTCGAAGCGTGTGATGCCTGTGCACGGTGGGGGGGACAGGTCAGGGCGCCCCAGGGTGGGGAGACATCAGCACCCACCCCTGTCCCTATCCCCGCAGTGGGGCCTCACCCAGCGTCCGGGAGAAGATGGGCAGGGCCGAGCTGAGCACCAACAAGGAGACACAATTCCCGATGATCTGGGGCGGGGAGGAAGCAGTGTCACCCCGGGGTACCCTGAGCCCTACTGTGGGTGCAGGGAGGGTGACAGCAGCCCCCTCGCTCAGCCTCACCCCCCAAAACGGGCACCTTTGGGAGGGGGGTGTCCTGGCGCCGGGGCAGCAGGCGGGTGAACAGGGGGGAGCTGTAGAAGCCCACGACAGAGCAGAGCATCAGGTAGCTGCGAGGGGGACGTTAAGGAGGGAGAACTGAGGCAGGTTGGAGGGGACGAGACAGGACAGGGCTGGGGACAACACGGGGCCGCCAAGGATACAAGATGAGGACGACTTGCAGGACGGCTCCGAAGCATCCCAGCATGGAGAAGGAGACCTGGCCCAGGGCTGTGGCCTGCGGGCAAGGAGGGGATTGGGGGCGGGCACGGGCAGGGCTGGTGCCCTCAGTGCCCCCCAACCCTCCCCTCCTTGTACCTGCGTGCCCCGGGGCATGGCCGCCTCGTCCAGCAGCAGCTCCAGCACGTGGAAGCAGACGACAAGCACCGAGATGCCCTGGTGGGGGCAGACGAGGGGGTCAGGGTGGCAGCAGGAAGTGGCGAAGGGGACGAGGACACCGGGCCACCCACCACGCTCACCGTGAGCGCCAGGAGGCCCAGCATGGCCAGCGGGTACCCCAGGTTCCTCTGCCAGGGCGACGCTCTGCACCGCAGCTCTGCAGGGCAACGGGCCCGGGTGAGATGGGCCTGGGGGGGGCTGCAAGAGGTGCCCGGCGGGGCCAGCGGGTACCCCAGGTTCCTCTGCCAGGGCGACGCTCTGCACCGCAGCTCTGCAGGGCAACGGGCCCGGGTGAGATGGGCCTGGGGGGGGCTGCAAGAGTTACAGCACATGCAGGGATGGGGACGGTGGCGTGTTTGCAGGGGCCTTGGCTGCTCCCCCCAGCTCCCACCCACAGCGGACACCCACCAGCCAAAATGCGGCGGGACACGGAGGCCTCCTCAAACCTCGTGCAGCTCAGCTGTTCGTCCAGGGCTTCCAGGAGCTACAGGAGGGTCAGGGGCCGTGAGCTGCTGCCCACCCCCAGGGGA